CCCCCAAAACCTAACCTTTCCTTTTATTCCCTTCAACTTATAAAAACAGAAGAAAAAACAGAGCATTAATGAAATCAGTGGGAGAGAAAAAATGAGGAATAATTGAAGCTCAAGAAATCAAGGTAGATGGAACGCAAGTGGTGTAGACGAGATGTTTTGCAATGTTTGTGGAAGAAGAAGGCTGATACACACAGCATGGACCGACACAAATCCTGACAGGAGATTTCTTAGTTGCCCTAACCGTGGTTGCAATCACTTTACCTGGATAGACCCACCCAGGTGCGATTGGGCAGTGCAAATAATTCCTAGGCTATTAAAGAAGTTGAATAAGATGGAAGCACAACTGAAGAGAAGGACTAGAAGAGAAAGGAAACTATGGATTTGCTTGGTTTTGTCATGGTTGGTTGTAGGAATATGGTTTGTATTGTAAAGTTTGAAGTTGTGTGGTAGTGTAAGAATGAATGAAGTCTGTATCTTGTTTATGAATCATATGCAGTGGGTGAAGTGTTATTAATAGAAAATATGTTTTTGAGATGAAAATTGTGTGCTTGGTGACTTATTAATGTTGTCTTGATTATTTTGTGTTTGGTGACTCTGACATAGACAAAGGAAACATACAGAAGTAGGTACACAATCTGTGACCATAATTGTCACTCGAAATTCAATGAACAATGAACATCACCAATGAACAATGAATATCAACAATTGTGAACATCACCAATGAACATCATGACTTGGAAACATCAGCAGAAATACAGTAAATTATCATTCAAACGTTGATTAGTTGACACACTTGTCACTCATGTTGTGCAAAACATATACTAAGAAAGGGATAGCCAATACAAAAACCAGGCTTCATAACCAAAAACAACAAAAAAAACCCACAAAACTATCTACAAGAAAAAGCCCAAGAACTACACCACAGACCACACCCACACAACAAACACCAACCACACCTCCAACTACAAAAAAAAAAAAAAAAAAAAAAAAAAAAAAACAAAACAAACAAAAGAAAGACAACAAAAGCTCCTCCAACAAAACAAAAAAAAAAAAAGCTCCAAGAAAGCCAATCAAGTCCTGAAACACAAACCAAGGCATCAAAAGGAAAAAAAAAAGGAATAGTCCCTGCAAAGAGAGTCTAATAGTTTGATTATCGTTCCATTCACAATAGCCCAAAAGACAGAGCTGCAAAAAACCCCCTTTTGGGTTGTTATAAATGCTCTCTCCTCAACACAACTGATGGCCTCTTGGCGCAGATGCTACAATTCCATTTGTAGTAGAAATGACAACACTCTACAACAACAACAAAAAAAAGAGAGCATTTATACTTGGTAAAAAGGAAATGAAACTCAGAAACAGTGATGCGAGGCTCATTTTTGGTATCGACTGTGGAGAAGACAGCATCACCACCAAATCCTATGCTAGGCCAAAGGATTTTGAGCTCGCATTTTACAAACGAAGATGCAAATCAGTGAAGAGACTAGATGCCAAGTCATTGACCAAAATGTTTCAAGAAACAAAAAATGGAAAATCAACAAATGACCGTTAAGATCTTACAAGGGTCATCACCCTTTACTTGTGCCTGAAACTTCTCATGCCTACAACAGGACATACACACAGTTGGAGTTTTCTCAACTATGTTGACAATGTCAATAACATCAAGAAGTACAATTGGGTTGAGGCAATAAAAGACACACTGATAAATTCAATGACAAATGCAAACAAGAACCCAAGGCATGTCACCAGATGCGTCATGTTACTCTTGGTAAACACACTACTCAACTACTTCACACAAAAATATCAAACATCCAACTATCTCAAACTATCTAACATATTTCAAATTTTTTTTTGTAGTACTGGTACTACGAGCACAGTAAACTCCTCCGACCATTCAACAAAGAAGGCTTCCCAAGGTTTATGAAGTGGAACCTTGGCAAAATGTACTCCAAGTAGAAACACATTAGCCTTGCTGACTTTGAAAAGGTATTCAAACTCTTCTATACTTTCAAAGCACAAATCTATTCAACACTCCTTTCACAGTCATTACATTAACAATCATATTATGAAATTGTAAAATTTTGCAGTTTCAAAGCACAAACCTACTTAACACTCCTCTTACTCATGTTATGAAACTGCAAAAGTTTGTAATTTCAACGCACAAATTTATTCAACACTCTTTTCACATTCATTAGAGTAGCAATTATGTTATAAAACTGTAAAAGTTTATAGTTTCAAAGCATAAATCTATACAACACTTGTTCCATAGTAATTACAGTAACAATAATGTTATAAAACAGTAAAATTTTGCAGTTTTAAAGAAAAAATCTATTTAACACTCCTTTAACATTGATCACAGTAACATTATGTTATGAAACTGTAAAAGTTTGTAGTTTCAAACAACATATTTTCAACACTTCACTCACATTACTCACATTACAAATCATGTTATGAAAATGACAAATTTTCCAGTATTACTGATATATGCCACATTGTGCTAATGCAGGTTGACCAAAGTGCTTTAACTCCAACTAAACAAAAAATACAGTTATTGCATATCAATCAAAGCACATCAACAGACTCTTCAACAAAGAAACATGACCACAGAAAGGACAAGAGGCGAAAAAACAAACAAAAGTAACCAAAAAAAAAAAACTTCTAGATAGTGATGAGGAAGACTTTCTCGAAGAAGAACACCAATCAGAATCAGAACAAGAACAACAATAACAACAAAAAGAAGAAAAGAAAGTAAGAACCACAAAAGCAACAAATTAAAGAAGCAGAAAGTGATGAACAAGAAGAAGAGACTGATGAAGAAGAAGAAAAACCAGAAGAAGTTGATGAACAAGAAGACACCGATGAAGAAGAAGAACAAACAGACCAACAAGAAGAAGTCAATGAACAAGAACTGACAGACCAACAAGAACAACAACTTGAAGAAGAAGAACAAGAAAACCAACAAGAAGAAAAAGGGACACAACAACAAGAATAAGAACTCCAAGAGAAACTTGACACATTTCATGCACAAGGTAAACTCTTGTCTAATACTGAACCAAACTGCAAAATTTAATTAAACTAACCAAAACAAAATGCAACATTTTTATATGGAAATGTAGGTCTTCAACTCATCAACAACACACAATCAACTGTTTGTGTCTGGTCTGGCAAAGAAGATGAAAATTGCATATACTTTTCAGATATATGCAAATTGTGCAACAGGGAAGATTAATATAGAAATGTAGGTCTTAAACTGCACAATTTTACAGTTTCTGTTCATGTTCAATAACCTATTCCACAAACCTAACACATTCTCATATATAACATGTTTCAGGTCATTGATGCCTTCGCAGAAATGAAATTGGCACTCCAACCATCAATTGAAAAATTTGAGAAACATGATCTAGTGTTTGCAAGAAATCCATACGCAGGAAGATCTTATGTTTTCTCAACACTCATCAATGTAAGCAAAACTATTAACATACCTTTCAATATTATTCAAACTACAAAATTTTCTACTTTCTTAACACGTCTTACTACATACTTTTATAACATATTTCAAACATATAAAAATTACAAACTCCACTACAAAACCAAGATCAGGCACTAAGAGAAAAAATGATGGACAACCATTTTCCAGAAGCAATGAGAAACAAATATATCCATTTCCCAATCAACCACGACAACCATTGGACCATTGTGGTCTTTGACAGTGCTGATGGGATATGGAGGCACTATGACTCTTTGAGGCCAGCAAAAGGATGCCACAACAAGCACTTTGAAATTGCAAAGGAAATTGTAAGTTAAACAAAATTTCCTACTTAGTTCTATTCCTTTCAAAACATCTAAGCACCTCACTATAACTAACAAAAACACCCACTAACTCTTTTGTAGCAACAACATCAACTGAGATGCAATAAAGCATTATTTAGCAATCAAGGAAACATGTTATCATCTCAAGAGTACGAGACAGTAATTGCATCAATTGAGGAATGCCCACAACAAATCCCACACTCGTAAATATGCTAAAATTTTCAGTTTTACCTAACTAATTCACTTCATTTAAAACTTTGCAGGAATGATTGTACAATCGCCGTCTGCAATGTTATCAACCAATATATCAACTGGCAACCTGTGTAGAAATCACTTCGACCAACTGAGTGGGTCAAATTTCCAGCAGAAATCATCAGTCAATTCCTTAATGATAAGAACCGATCTTGGAACCTCGAGCACTATCAAATGTTGACAAAACATACCAAACCAAAGAAACAATGAACAAACTTCTTTACAGTAGAAATATTCATGTGAACATATTTTTGTACTTTTTTTTTAACGTATGACAAGTACTTTTTATGCTTTTGGTGATTGATCTTCTTGTGGTTATCGTAGTGGTGATGATTGTTGCCATTGATGGTGTTATTGCTCTTCTTGTTGTTGTTCTTCCTGTAGTTATTATTCTTGTTTGTGTTCTTGTGGTTATTATTGTCGTCATGTTTGTGGTTGCATATAAATTCATACAGGACAAGTTGTTTCTAATAATTCTTAAAACTGTAAAATTATGCAGTTTCATTATCGTGAATTCATTTCCACGCATTATAATATGTATTTCCTACATAATTCTTGAAATTGCAAAATTATCTAATTTCATGACTAAAACAAATAGATGAACTACATTTCAAATTTGTAAATAAAACTGCAAAATTATACAATTTTGTCACTATGAAACATTAAATAAATACATTATGTAGTAAAACTGCAATATTATACAGTTTTAATAAGAAGTTTTCAAAAACCTTCTCAGCATTCCAAAAAATAAAACCAACCAACTCCACAAACCAAAAAAAAAAAAAAAAAACTTACAAAACAACTTCAATAACTAAAGAACACATCGAAAAATAAAAAAGAATGCAACCAACTTTATTCATTACTTCCATAATACCAAGTATCACATTTTATTATCATAATTCCTCAACTTCAAATATAAATCCAAAGAATAGACTATGGCCTCAAATAGCAGCCTTGCACGTCTTTTTATTGTGATTCTCATATTTCAAGCACCCCCCACACTTGATTTGCTTTACATTCTCACCCCTAGAAGGTATCCTTTTCTTTTTGTTCTGCCCGGGTTGCTTCTTCGTTATAAGAGGTTTGATAATCGAACTATCGGCACCATCAAAGTTTGATAATCGAACTATTGGCACCATCAAAGTCAAATCTCTCACTTGAAGGCACTGGATAAAAAGATTACTTGTACGACTTTCTAAAACAATCCACATGAAGAAAAATGATCAATGAAATCATACACATCTTTACTACTACTATGTAAAGCATGGGCAGCATGACAACAAGAAAAACCATTCAATTGCCATTCATGACAAGAACAAGTCCATCTACCAATATCAACATAAAAAGAAATAGAAGAATGAACCTCAAGTACAGTATTACTAGCAACAATCACATCCCAAGACTTAGCTAGCTTCAAAGAGTCCACCAACTTTTTTTCCAAAACTGGACACAATTTGGTAGACCATCTTTTAGATTCAGCTCTCCTATTAGACAATTGAGTCATGATTTGAACCCTAATCATATCAACCATACAAGTAATAGGCAACTCACGAGTCCCACCAATCCAATTATTATAAGACTCAGCAGCATTAGATGACATATCACCATATCGTTTCCCTCTAAAAAATGAATTTGCCCACTTATCATTTTGCAAACTATCCAACATACTATCAACTCTACCATTCCTAGCAATACGCCTCAATTTCTCCATATAATGTTGGAAAGAAGCAATAGTTGATGCATAAGAATATTTAACTAATATTTTCATCAAAGTCAGCTTATAGTTAGTACAAAGTCCCACCAATTTGTCAATCAAATTTCTCTTCAAATGGTTCAAGCAATATGCATGATGTGCATTGGAAAAAACCACTGAAAGAGCGTCTAGCAATCCATGTTGACGGTCGGACACAAAGGTCAATCTCTGGCCTAAACCAATACCTTTAGCAACTGACTTAAAAATCACATCCAATTATCTTGATTTTCAGCATCAACAATCACAAAGCCAAAGGAAACAGACCTAAAAACAAAATAACATGAAACTGCAAAAATTAGCAGACTCACAATACAATAACAGAAACCAAAATCCACCAACTACCAAAACACACTGACAAACCAAAACTATACCAACTACAAATAAATATATACCTTGATTACCATCCTTTGATGTTGCTACAAACAAATGCCCCTTATAACGCCCTTTCAAGAATGTACTATCAACAAATAACAATGGACGACAAAATTGAAATCCATACAAACATCCATGAAATGCCATAAAAAACCTCCGAAAACACCCACTGCTTTCATTCACATCTAATTCAAACACACTTCCGGGATTCGTTCTCATACTTGTCTCAAGGTACCATCGAAGTTGGTCAAAAGAAGATGCAAAATCACCAAACAACCCACCTCTTGCCTTATCAACTCCTAACCATGCAATTTAATCAGAAACATCTATATCATATTGCTTCTTCAACATTTTTTTAACTTCGACAGGACGATTCAACGGATTATTACCAATATCATTATGCACAATATCAGAGACAAGTCTAGAACCAACCATTTTGCTACAAGATCTACGAGCAATAACCCCACAAGTATGCACATTATCCAACTTCATAATAAAAAAATACCGGAATTCATCAACACCCTTCTATGCACAAACCATTTACAACTCATAGCCGACTTCATCATACATTCAGCAGTTACTCTCATTGCATCATTCTTCAAATAATTCACTCCCACAACAACATCAACAACATGAGAACCACTAGAAACTACCATTGGCATCATATTCCCCAAATCATCATCACATTCAACAATACAATTCGAATATCAAGGAATAGAGAAAAACAAACAAAAGTTACCAACACTCAGCTTCTTGAATTTCGCACATATTTTCTCAATAACTTCATGATAACTACATCCCTCACTAATCTTAATAGCAGCACAAGGCTTATTGTATTTACACATTAACATGAAACACCCCTCCATATTACAAATCACAAACCAACAAACAATTGATCATAGAGTCCAAACTGTAAAATTATACAATTACAACATATCAGTATCAAAACTTTAGAATTCACAATTCCAAACTACAAATTCAAAACACATTACACTATACAACAAACAAAATCAAAAAAATCAAAATCATTACACTATATCACATACAAAAATCACAAAATCAATGTCAAACAAACAAAATTTATAACAAAACAAAGAACTATAACAACATTGACGAACACGAACCAGAGATCACGTGAATTTGCTTATCTATATATATACATACATATATGTATCGAGAGAGAGAGAGAGAGAGAGAGAGAGAGAGAGAGAGAGAGAGAGACAGACAGTCAGATAGACAGACAGACAGACACACACACATACACAGAGTGCGTACGTAGAGATCGCCTATACACAAAAATTCAGATCGCACAAAGAGATCGACCTCACAGAGTCGAGATCGCAAACGACCTCACATAGGCGAGATCCACAATCTAAAATTTGATTTTTCACACACACACACATATATATATATATATATATATCTCAAATCAAAGGGTAATACAGTCATTTAAAAAATAAGAAATAAAAAATGGGACCTTCGGGTATAAAACTTTAAAAATTGTGGATCTATTGGTCTATCAAAAATATATTGGGATTAGAAGGACATAGGACTACATAGTAAGGCCAGATTTGGCAAATACTAAAAAATACAAAAAGTCACTAAAAAAATAAAAAAAAAGTTATCACTATTCACAAAAAAAAAAAATATAAAAAACCCCTTTACACAGGCCAAGTACAAGCCACTGTCAGTATTGAAGTGATGGTAAGTTATGGTCACGCGGGTGCACGAAAAAAATTACACATGATGGTGTTGTTCGGCCCGTGGGGCCTATCACAGGTCCCGTTTTGATAATCTGAACCGTTCAATGTGTAGAACTCGTCGAGTACTATATGCTTGTAAAAAAATCACGTTCATTGGATATCGATAACTATATGATCAAATCAGTTTTATAAAAAAAAAAATAGACGGTGAAGAAATTAACGGTTGACAAAAAACCTAATCTGAGTAGATAGTTATCGATATCCGACTAACATGATTTTTTATAGGCATATAATACTCGATGATTTCTACACATTGAACGGTTCCGATTATCAAAACGAAACCTGTGGTGGCCCCCACGAGCCGAACAACACATCCAGCCCGATCTCGGATTGTAGGCAATCTGTTCCTATACTTGTTTCCTACCCATCGTCTGGCTTCTTGGATAATCCAAGTTAGGAGGCAATTCATTATAGTAAGGGTAAAATGATAATTTTGCTATTTTATATAATATTTTAATATACATTTCTTTATAAAAAGTTAAAAAATTATCTTAAATAATCATATATATTTTTTTATTTTTTAATTTAAAATATTAAAACATACACTAATTTAGGAGAGATTCAAAGAATCCCTAATTTTCCTATAGCCTAGAAGTGTAACAAACCCAATATAATAATGGGATATTTTTGGGGAATATAAAATAAGCCGTATATGTATCACAGCAACGCGAGACATACAATGCAAGGTGTAATTTGAAGAAAATCGATTGAAAGAACGAACATCTTCAATTCAACCCTCCGCTCCTCATGTACATCTATTCTTCTTCTTCTTCTTCTTCTTCTTCTTCTTCACGTCGCTGTTTTTTTTTGGGGGTTTTTTTGTTTTCAGGCTAGGGCTGATGACTTTTTTCTTCGTGTTCAATTTTTTTTGTTCTCCCGATTTTTCCCCTTTAGGTTTGAGATCCAGGCCAATCTTCTCTGCCTCTTCTTACCAATAGAATTACAATTTCTGTATTTTTTTGTTGGTCTTATTTTTCTTGTTAATGATTAATTTTGGCCCTCTACTGAAGAATGAGTGATGGTTGTGATTTACAATGCTTATGAATCAGGTTGTATATTTCTCTGAGAGTCGTTGTTATGGAATTAGCATTTTAAATCAATTCTATTAACTGAGAAAGAATGTGCTGTGCTGTTGTAGACTAGTAGTTTGTTATAATTTCAAATGTTTAATCCTTCAATTATTTGCCTTCATTCAATTATCAATTTCCTTCCTTCCTGTCAACCTTGTTTGTGTGCTCTTTGCTTTGGCCAATCTCACGCCACCTGGACTGGGTACGGTTGTTCTTCGCATATTCTCCTAATTGTCAAATAAGGGGATTTGGCTAGAAACTGTCAAAAAAAAAAAAATTGGATTCGGATTTAGGGACACCACGTATTGCTTAATGTTTGCGTTAGCGATCATGGCAAACAAATGAATCTCCTCATACCGACATTTATAATTCACAAATCTTCAAGTTTGTTTAGGTTAATTTGTGAATGTTTATCTGATTAATTTTGTTTTTTCAAAGATAGTTTTAATTAATTAATTTTTTATTATTCAATTGCATTCTCTCTGAATTTTGATAGTATTCATTAATCATATAAAAATTGTTATACATATTTTATTTCTTCTAGAATCTTACGATTCTTTATTTGATGATCCTATCTAGGCTGGTAGAATCCCAAAACAACAATTCAATTTTTTACAACCTTGCTTCCTGTTAATAAGGAGTCATGGTTCGTTTTTTTCGTGGTGGAGGTCAGTATCTATTTCCTTTTGCCATCTCTCTGTTTTTTTCTATCTCGCTTTAAACATAATTTAATTATATTTTTTTTGCCTATTTCGATCTGTTTGTGCTTTTTGTTATCTGAAACCATTTGCTCAAAATGGTAGAGGTTTTTTTAAAAATTTCAGTGTCTTTTTGATCTTCTCACAAAAGGTACATGGCATCTGTGTACAACTTGCAGCATGTTGGAAACCAAAAATTAAAAACAAATATTGTTAGTTACTTTTTATGCTTGATTTATCACTAGTTTTACTTTCATCATTGACATTTCTTTCTCAGTTTGTGTTTGTGGATATATTTTAATAAAGGTTCTTTGTTGAACTTCTAAGTTTTTTACAACCTCAACCTACGTTGCAAATTGATGTTTTTATGCTTTAGTTTAACTAATTCATGTTATGGGTTAATTGTTTTTGATATTGTCTTTCCATGTTTTTCTTCTCAAATTTTTTGTTCTTGTCTTTTGCAGGAAAATCTTCTTCAGCTTCTTCTGGTTCAAAGAGTTTAGTGTGAACCATTTTTCTCATACTAAACGAAGTTGCTTGATCGCTCCTAGTGACTTCCCTGCTTTTCATTTCTAAGGGAAGTAGAGATCGGCTTTCAGCAACTTCTCTAGCTTTCTTCCGTTTTATTTTACAGTTATAATATCTTGTTTACGTGTTTACCTTTATCCTTTTGTTCTTTGTCTTCGTAGTTACTAGAAAAGTTGCAGCCATATTGAGTTTATCAGCTCTAAGCAAGAACTTGGAAAATTTTCCAGGAACGGCGGAGCTATATCCATGTGACAATGTAGACAAAGAATATGAAGAGGTACAATTTTTCACAGTTCAATGTCATTCGGAATGGTTATTGGTGACATAGTAGTTGTTGGCTCTTTTCTTAGTTGAAGATGTGATGGCGCAGCCCTTGATTGGTTAGATGGCAATTATTGGATTTGGAAGCCAATGCTGAAGTCCACGGGTCCAAAGTCTTTTTGGTCCCATAATTGTACTTGGCAGTTTATTATTATTTTTTCCTTGGATTTAATTGAATAAAGTTAGCCAGGAATATTAATTGGTTAGGTTTCTTAATTAGAATATAAGACTTTGGTTATATAAATATTAGGGTTTTGACATTGTAATATTCAGTTTTAAGAATACTATTTGAGAGTAAAACGCTGTGGCCGACTTTGAGTTCTTCTCCCTTTCTCTGCCCCGTCCTACACCAGGATGAGTCATAGGCTTATGGCTTAAATCCAAAGATTTAATTTTCCTAATGCAAAGATTTTAGTTTTATCTAAACGAGTGTTTGGAGAGCTTTTATGTTTTCCTTTTCAATTTTCTTTTTAAGTACAGTGGTTGTACTAATATTTTTTCCTTTCTCTATTATGCAGTGCAACAGCACAACTCCAACCAGTTATGATGCCAAACACTGTGAAAAAATTCGCAAAATGAAGGCATCTTGTCTTGAACGTAAGTGGGGTTTGTATGCATATCTATAAACTTTCTTGTTTCCTGTGAGGTGCCACTTTTGCCATTAAATATTAAAGAATAAAATGATGATTTCTTGGTGCTTGTAAGATGGTTCTGCATTTTAATTATGCAAGAAACTCTATACTCTATTTCATACAAACCAAGAGTTCCATACCAATACTAAAAGGAAAACTAAGAAGGTTCAATCGTTGTATAGGATTGTATTTTAAGGTGTCTTTATCTATTGTAATATGACTTTTGATCAAAGAAGCACGGGTGCGGGTACGAGTACGGTACGGGTACGAGTGCGGGTACGTCGATACGGCAAAACCTCAAAAAAGTAGGATACGGGTACGGCTGCGGTACGCCGATTTTTTATTATTTTTTATAATTATGGTTAAAAGATCCAACCTACAAATTGAAATTAAATATCAAAACTAAAAAGTATGATTGATTATTAATTTTGTTCTAATTAATTTTTATAATTTTGTTCTAATTAATTTTTTTGATTATTAACATTATTCATTTCTAACATTATCAGCTCCAATCATTGGAGCTAATAATGTTAGTAATTTGTAATTTTGTTATAAACAAAACATCTTGAATTGAAAGAAAACTGCTGGCTTCGGGGTGGGGGGAGAGGTGTGCTACAATAATTACATAAAAATAACTATATTTGTGGAGACATCATGTAGGCATGCAAGCTTTGGCCTTTTAAACCATTGATAAGGTGGGTTAACGTTTCTTATGAGTTATAAAGGTTATTGATGGTCCTGTTTTATTCGATCAATATGGTTTGATCAGTCGGAAGTGAGACTTCTTGATGGTGTTTCTCCAATAGGAAATCTTCAGTTGCTTCAAGAACAGGAAAGATGGCTCGAGCTTGGTGATCTGGTTAGTGAAAAGTTGCAAAGGGATGTTGATGGTTATGCATGAAGGCTTTATGAAGGATGATCTTGATCAAGAGGATTTTTGTGATGATGGCGGGGGTATTCAATCAATTCATGGGAAAGACATTGATGAAGGATATTTTGGTGGTTGTCAAGCATTGGCGAAATTTGGGGATTGTGGTGAATCTGATGACTTCTTAGATGAGTCTTTGGATGGCGATGATCACAACAAAAACTCGATCTCAGTGTTGCAAGAGTCCAACTTTGATACAGTGATTTTATTCAACAATGCTTTTGATCAAGAACAAGGGGAAAATCATTCATAAGGATTGATACAAAAAGGAAATGAGGGAACAAATGGTAATGGTGTTTTCACCGTTGAAATGGATCTTAGTGTATGCAAATCAAATGGGTATGATCATATGAGTACTTGGCTTTGAAGGGGCATTATTGCTTTCCATTTTTGATACTGAATCTCTAACACCTTCCAATCCTCTGAGAGATGCTTGCATCGGGACTTGAGATGATATACTTTTTCCTTGTAAGGATCTTATACTAGTTGATGGCTGCAATTCTAATACTGCCGTTAGTTACTTTGGACTTATGGAAGGGGAATCTGGTAACCATGATGAGGAGGGAGGAAGGATTTAGGAGAGAGTGGGGTTTACCAGTGTTTGCAGCCCGAACAATCCTAGGTTAATAGCTTTCTTCTAGGAGGAGTTAGTTGCTCTTTATGTGTTGCGTTCTCCCAGTTGGTGTGTCGGTGGTGACTTTAAGTTTAATATTACGGTAGTTTCAAAGAAGATTAGTGGGGATAAGTTACTTGAAGGATGAAGGATTTTGATATGTTCATTAGGAATTGTGATCTCAGTCTATCGCCAAACTTGTCTTTAAGGCGGCTGCAGGGGTGCACTTGTCATCACAGGTCCATAACCATTCTCCTACCAACTTCCTTGAGGATACCTGTACATTTAAAGTAAGTTAGTTAATATATATTTTTTGTGCTTGTGTGTGTGTTTTGTGTTAGTGGTACAAGAGAGTGGTGGTCGAGATTATGACAGGAAGAAGTCAACTTAGCCTGTTGGATAGGATCTTCATGATCACCTTGTAACTAAAGTTACAAAGATTGATTGGCCTCAAATCTGAAAGAGTCTTTAAGTTTTTAGGAAAGCAAAGATGAGTCACTGTAGCATATTCTATTAATGACTTATCCAACAGCCAGTTATCTGTCCAAAAGTGAGTTTAAGTTCCATCTCCAATAAGCCAACGAGAAATCTCAGTTAGAAGCTTGTCATTGGAAATTCTTACAGATAGAAGCTTGCAATAATTTTGACAAGGAGTGGCTAGCAAGAGGCTTTTGTTTAATATATATTGGTTTGGGTTGACTGAATTTTTTTGTTTTTTTTGTTGGTTTGGAAAAGCTTGTTTGTATTAATGTTAACACCGTATGCTGTAATTGGATTTCTCATGCTCTAAGTCATCAACATTTGTTTGATGGCACAAGTAGCTTAATTTTACCTTGTTGATCTTTATAGATGTCATATTTCAGTTATTTACGGTTTTTTCCCCCCCCAATCTTAGGTGCTCAAAGATGGGAACAACATCAAGAGGGTAAGTTTGACATTTTGATTTCTTGCTACTGCTTATTTCATTTTCTAATTAAAGCTTTCGAACTTCTATAGTGGTGTTGATTTATGTTTATTCATTTTATTTTTATTTAGAAAATGTTTTGAAAGTTATAAATACACCCCTTGAGGTTCTAGAAAATAAATACTGCCCCTCGATGTTTCAAATCATATGGCAATTCTTTGTTAGTCAACCTTTAGGTCAACTAGCAAAAGTAGATGATGTTAGCAATTTTATTTTTCAACATACCTAAACACTTTGCTCCTTTCTCTCTCTGTCTTTCCTATTCTCTTCCTTTCTCCCTCTCTTCCTCCCTCAACCACACCCTATTAGGAAAAGAAATGACTTTTTCATTTTATTTTCATTATTATATACTTCTATATAAATTCATATACAACTCTGTTAATGATTGCAAATTGCAAACACCAGTAAGGCTACATCCTTGTGAGACAATGTATCGAACTTTTGGCAAGTATCTTCCAAGCCCCTTCAAACATTTTAAAATTCTTGTAAAATATGTCATATTTGCTCTTGGTTTTATAACTGGTAAACAGTTGGCCTCTCAAAAATCTCAATTTGCTTTAGTTAGGGTTATGATGCAATACACGTGGTGTATACCATATGCTAATTATGGTCTAAATTGGTGTTGGTTACGAGTCATCATGGTTTTTAGTTATAGGCCATTGTCTTAGTGAGGCTAACAAATTATTAAATAAAAATTGGTTAAGTCTCATTATTATGTTTGATTATGTGTAAAAGTGATTTTAGTTACGACTTATTGTAGTGACTTTGGTTATGACCAAATTGGTATTCGATGACTCAAGTTGGTGTTAGCTACGACCAGTATGGCTATAATCGTTGTGATAAAGTATTTAGTATATGTTATTATTTTTATTTTTTTATTTTGTACATACTTTTTGTTTCATAAATGTCAAGTATTTATTGTTTGAATTTTTTTTTTTTTATTTTACAGTTATGATATCTTGTTTACGTGTTTACCTTTACCCTTTTGTTCTCTGTCTTTGTAGTTACTAGAAATGTTGCAGTCATATTGAGTTTATCAGCTCTAAGCAAGAACTTGACAAATTTTCCAGGAATGGTGGAGCTAGATCCATGTGACAATGTAGACAAAGAATATGAAGAGGTACAATTTTTCACAGTTCAATGTCATTGGGAATGGTTATTGGTGATATGGTAGTTGTTGGCTCTTTTCTTAGTTGAACATGTGATGGCGCAGCCCTTGATTGGTTAGATGGCAATTATTGGATTTGGAAGCCAATGTTGAAGTCCACGGGTCCAAAGTCTTTTTGGTCCCATAATTGTAATTGGTAGTTGTGTTATTATTTTTTACTTGGATTTAATTGAATAAAGTTAGCTAGGAATATTAATTGGTTAGGTTTCCTAATTAGAATATAAGACTTTGGTTATATAAATATTAGGGTTTTGACATTGTAATATTCAGTTTTAAGAATATTATTTGAGAGTAAAACGCTGTGGCCGACTTTGAGTTCTTCTCCCTTTCTCTGCCCCGTCCTACACCAGGATGGGTCATAGGTTTATGGCTTAAATCCAAAGATTTAATTTTCCTAATGCGAAGATTTTAGTTTTATCTAAAAAAGTGTTTGGAGAGCTTTCATGTTTTCCTTTTCAATTTTCTTTTTAAGTACAGTGGTTGTACTAATATTTTTTCCTTTCTCTATTATGCAGTGCAAGAGCACAACTCCAACCAGTTATGATGCCAAACACTCTGAAAAAATTCGCAAAACGAAGGCATCTTGTCTTGAACGTAAGTGGGGTTTGTATGCATATCTAGAAACTTTCTTGTTTCTCATGGGGTGCCACTTTTGCCATTAAATATTAAAGAATAAAATGATGATTTCTTGGTGCTTGTAAGATGGTTCTGCATTTTAATTATGCAAGAAACGCTATACTGTATTTCATACAAACCAAGAGTTCCATACCAATTCTAAAAGGAAAACTAAGAAGGTTCAATCGTTGTATAGGATTGTATTTTAAGGTGTCTTTATCTATTGTAATATGACTTTTGATCCATTAAAATGCAAAATACCATGTTCTAAGGTTTTGTTTTTTGGGGGATTGTTCGTGGGAGTAGCACGTGTTGACAAAAATCATGTTCGTATTCGGCTGATCACTATTTTTTTGGGATGTCATTAGATGGTTGTAGGCCTTCCAATTTACTGTATTTATTGGATTCATTTTATTTTTGATTTTCTTGGGAGGCAATGTAGTTAATAAACTTGTTTGCTTTGAGTTCTTGTACAATGTAGACTGCTTTTGCTTTGAAATTATAGTTACTATTGCTTATCAAAAAAGCGGCTTGCATAAATTTCAATTATGAACTTTATTAAGGTTTCTCATGGGGCGGTGATGGATTAGTGGTAAAAAGAATCTCAGGATTAGGACTGGTGAAAGTTGGATCTTAAGGTATAGAAAACATGTAATGCAAGCTATTTGGGTTGTGATTAAAGAAGTTTACTTTCTAAAGAGAGATAAAGAAACAAAGAGGAGACAACATGGTGTATTTTTGATGAATGGATACAACAGTGTGTAATATTAAGAAGGGAGAAAGCAAAAATGAGAAACCTATGGTGGGCTGAAATGATTAGGTTTGGAAACTAGACATGAATCCCAATTTATAAAGCTGTGATTAATGCTAACTTGTCAGGTGGTTTTCTGGTAATTCAATAGAGAATGCATGCTGAAAAATGTGGGCCAATTATTATTGATTCATAGTGTATGGGAATTTTGTATCTGGATTTAGGTTGAAACTTATTTGGTACTTAACCAAATCAACCAAACCAAACCTTTTGTCCCAATCAATTGGGGTCGGCTACGTGGGCCATATGCTTAAGTAAATTCATATCCTTCTTCACCATTGTATCACATGTCAATCTAGGTCTTCCACTCCCCATAGCATTTCCACTAGCAATAATCCTATTGCACTATCTTAGTGTTGCCTCTATCAACTTCGTTGTACATATCCAAACTATCTTAGTTTATTCATTTCTAACATTATCAGCTCCAATCATTGGAGCTAATAATGTTAGTAATTTGTAATTTTGTTATAAACAAAACATCTTGAATTGAAAGAAAACTGCTGGCTTCGGGGTGGGGGGAGAGGTGTGCTACAATAATTACATAAAAATAACTATATTTGTGGAGACATCATGTAGGCATGCAAGCTTTGGCCTTTTAAACCATTGATAAGGTGGGTTAACGTTTCTTATGAGTTATAAAGGTTATTGATGGTCCTGTTTTATTCGATCAATATGGTTTGATCAGTCGGAAGTGAGACTTCTTGATGGTGTTTCTCCAATAGGAAATCTTCAGTTGCTTCAAGAACAGGAAAGATGGCTTGAGCTTGGTGATCTGGTTAGTGAAAAGTTGCAAAGGGGTGTTGATGGTTATGCATGAAGGCTTTATGAAGGATGATCTTGATCAAGAGGATTTTTGTGATGATGGCGGGGGTATTCAATCAATTCATGGGGAAGACATTGATGAAGGATATTTTGGTGGTTGTCAAGCATTGGCGAAATTTGGGGATTGTGGTGAATCTGATGACTTCTTAGATGAGTCTTTGGATGGCGATGATCACAACAAAAACTCGATCTCAGCGTTGCAAGAGTCCAACTTTGATACAGTGATTTTATTCAACAATGCTTTTGATCAAGAACAAGGGGAAAATCATTCATAAGGATTGATACAAAAAGGAAATGAGGGTACAAATGGTAATGGTGTTTTCACCGTTGAAATGGATCTTAGTGTATGCAAATCAAATGGGTATGATCATATGAGTACTTGGCTTTGAAGGGGCATTATTGCTTTCCATTTTTGATACTGAATCTCTAACACTTTCCAATCCTCTGAGAGATGCTTGCATCGGGGCTTGAGATGATATACTTTTTCCTTGTAAGGATCTTATACTAGTTGATGGCTGCAATTCTAATGCTGCCGTTAGTTACTTTGGACTTATGGAAGGGGAATCTGGTAACCATGACGAGGAGGGAGGAAGGATTTAGGAGAGAGTGGGGTTTACCAGTGTTTGCAGCCCGAACAATCCTAGGTTAATAGCTTTCTTCTAGGTGGAGTTAGTTGCTCTTTACGTGTTGCGTTCTCCCAGTTGGTGTCGGTGGTGACTTTAAGTTTAATATTACAGTAGTTTCAAAGAAGATTAGTGGGGATAAGTTACTTGAAGGATGAAGGATTTTGATATGTTCATTAGGAATTGTGATCTCAGTCTATCGCTGGCCTCAAATCTGAAAGTCTTTTAAGTTTTTAGGAAAGCAAAGATGAGTCACTGTAGCAGATTCTATTAATGACTTATCCAAAAGTGAGTTTAAGTTCCATCTCCAATAAGCCAACGAGAAATCTCAGTTAGAAGCTTGTCATTGGAAATTCTTACAGACTGAAGCTTGCAATAATTTTGACAAGGAGTGGCTAGCAAGAGGCTTTTGTTTAATATATATTGGTTTGGGTTGACTGAATTTTTTTGTTTTTTTTGTTGGTTTGGAAAAGCTTGTTTGTATTAATGTTAACACCGTATGCTGTAATTGGATTTCTCATGCTCTAAGTCATCAACATTTGTTTGATGGCACAAGTAGCTTAATTTTACCTCGTTGATCTTTATAGATGTCATATTTCAGTTATTTACGGTTTTTTCCCCCCCCAATCTTAGGTGCTCAAAGATGGGAACAACATCAAGAAGGTAAGTTTGACATTTTGATTTCTTGCTACTGCTTATTTCATTTTCTAATTAAAGCTTTCGAACTTCTATAGTGGTGTTGATTTATGTTTATTCATTTTATTTTTATTTAGAAAATGTTTTGAAAGTTATAAATACACCCCTTGAGGTTCTAGAAAATAAATACTGCCCCTCGATGTTTCAAATCATATGGCAATTCTTTGTTAGTCAACCTTTAGGTCAACTAGCAAAAGTAGATGATGTTAGTAATTTTATTTTTCGACATACCTAAACACTTTGCTCCTTTCTCTCTCTGTCTTTCCTATTCTCTTCCTTTCTCCCTCTCTTCCTCCCTCAACCACACCCTATTAGGAAAAGAAATGACTTTTTCATTTTATTTTCATTATTATATAAATTCATATAAATTCATATACAACTCTGTTAATGATTGCAAATTGCAAACACCAGTAAGGCTACATCCTTGTGAGACAATGTATCGAACTTGTGGCAAGTATCTTCCAAGCCCCTTCAAACATTTTAAAATTCTTGTAAAATATGTAATATTTGCTCTTGGTTTTATAACTTGTAAACAGTTGGCCCCTCAAAAATCTCAATTTGCTTTAGTTAGGGTTATGATGCAATACACGCGGTGTATACCATATGCTAATTATGGTCTAAATTGGTGTTGGTTACGAGTCATCATGGTTTTTAGTTATAGGCCATTGTCTTAGTGAGGCTAACAAATTATTAAATAAAAATTGGTTAAGTCTCATTATTATGTTTGATTATGTGTAAAAGTGATTTTAGTTACGACTTATTGTAGTGACTTTGGTTATGACCAAATTGGTATTCGATGACTCAAGTTGGTGTTAGCTACGACCAGTATGGCTATAATCGTTGTGATAAAGTATTTAGTATATGTTATTATTTTTATTTTTTTATTTTGTACATACTTTTTGTTTCATAAATGTCAAGTATTTATTGTTTGAATTTTTTTTTTTTTGCGAATATAATAATAATGTTCAATTCTTATTCTTATAAGTATTTTTTTTGATAAATAAGCAAACTTTATTGAAAAAACATGAAGATGATGCAAATAATACAAAACCAACTAAAAGACTAGCCAGCAAAACACATATATAAGAGCAACACAAAACAGCTCCACAAGAGCATCAAAACAACTACTGAATCAAATCCTCTACGAAGTCAACAAAGATAGCACATTCGAATCAATTGATAACGATATCCAGCTATGCAGCACAGTGAACAAACGTTGTTCCAACCATGCCACCGAACGCATCTCTCCCATAAAAACCCGTCTATTTCGCTCCAACTAAATCAACCACATCAAACAATGTCCAGCCAACTTCTATGCTTTCCAATGCCGCCTCCCAACCCTACCCCCAGCCCAACTTTGTAAAACCGCCAACACCGACCCTGGTTGAACCCAAACCAAACCAAACCAAACCAAAAATAACAACAATAAACATCCAAAGACGTGAAGCAACTGGGCAACATACAAGCAAATGATCCACTGTTTCCGCAACCCCTCAACACATGCAACACCAGTTCACTAAAATATGGCCACGGTGAATCAGATTATCAAACAATGATGTCTACACAAAGAAAGCAACCTTGGACAGACAACCTGCCACCCAAACACTCTTCCACGGGAATGGCACCCCAGCCCCTCCCGTAAGCATATGATAGAAGGAATACACCGAAAAAACCCCTTTGGTCTTCAGGCCATCCTAACTCAAACAATCCTCTCCAACCCTCCTAAACCGAAGGCCATACAAAAAGCCCAACAAATCCAGCAGTTGGTCCAGCTCCCAATCCTACACATCACGATGTAATCCAACATTCCACAGCACCTCCAACCCTTGCACTTGTACACAGGAGGCCACCGTCGCCTCCCGATCAACCGCAATGCGAAAAATCAATGAGAACCTCACCTCCAAAGCCAACTCTCCACACCATTGATCCCTCCCAAATCGAACTCGATCCCCCATCCCTACTTTAAAACAAACCCTCTTCCAAAATTCCTCCCGACCTAACCAAATCCCTTTCCACAAACTCTGCCCGTGTGATTGCTTCACCTCCCTGTACTCCAATCCCCCCCTTGCTAACCCACATTTAGCCTCCTTTCTACCCCAAACCGCCACAACCATTTTCCTAGAAGAGCCAAATTAAACAATACTAATAAATTTCGTAGTCAATTTTTTGTTGTATATATAATTTGGCCCCCGTAAATGAGATTTTCGGGTCTACCACTGACTGAAGTGTGTTCTTGGTGTGCATCTTTAACCTCATTGCCAAAATGCACTCACTTCTTGCTCAAACCCACACCAAACTAGTCACCAACAACACGATGTGTTCACCACTGAACTAGTCACCAACAAGCGTGTTTTGTCTAACACCGAGACGCTTTGGATACTCCTAAAAGTGTGTCTGACACTTCATCTTGTTTTAATTAAAAATTACATTTATAATATCAGACATTTAACCAACACAATGCAAACACTTTTGGTGACGTTTATTGCATTGCTTATTCAAGTCCTACGTGATGAACCCCTTTATATAACAATGTTCTGCATTCGTTATTATGTATTTCTCATGTGAATGATATCTTGATATTCAAACTGTGAAATGTATTGTTTTTTTTTTTATTGTAATTAGAGTTATGTTATATTTTTTTAATTCTTTGAATAAATTATTTGTATATATGACCAGTGTTTTAAAAGGCTCTATGCGCACCGAGGTGATAAGGTCTTCTATAGCCTAAGTGTGAGGTGCGAGGCGAGGCGTGCGCCTCACCAAGGTGAGGCACAGTAGCAGAAGAAAAGCAAAATTATTAAATTGGCAAATTTTTCAACATAACAAATATATATAGAATTCCAAAAATAACAAAGCAAGCTTCACCATTACAAATGATTGATAAACATAACATTCAATTTTCTAAAAATTAGAAATATAATATCCAACAAAAGATATAAAGTATTACATTCTTATGCACCAAAAACCTAAAGTTTTAAGATCATCCACATAAAGTTCAAAACAACTAAGCTTCTAGTTTGCAGTTCAAACAAGAAATAAAAAGCACTTAATCAACAGTTGGAATAAAAAAATAAGTAAAGCCCATGAAGGCCACGCTTCACGCCTCGAAAAAAAATCCGTGCCTGCGCCTCGCCTTGACCAGTTTGAAGCACAAGGGTGCGCCTCATTGTGCCTCGCGCTTATGCGCGCCTTTTAAAACACTGTATATGGCACATAATAAATTTGTAAAAAATATAAAATTTTAATGTTTTTCAAAAATGTTGCGTTCTACATTTTCTGAAAATTGGAATGTTGGCACATCTGTGTCTGTGCTATTTAGGTTCCAACAACTTCATCTCATGAGAAAATAGTATGTGTTCAGCCAATTGTGGATGGTGGTTTGATAAAGTGGGAGAAAATGAAAAGGAACAAAGGGGGATTGAGGACAAGTTGAGAGAGAAGCCAGTGTAGAGGGCAATTGTTCCAGCTTTTCTTGTCCATGGCTGCAAAAGGGTATCGGTTGAGCATGCGAAGGGGTGGGGGTGGCAAAGGAGAGTGGATGAGGGTGGACATGGGTTTGCATAATGGAGGAAGGAGGTGTAGGTATTAGGGTAAATTTATTTAGGTATTGGAGGGTGATTAGGTAATTTACATTATCTATTAATTCTATTAATTTAAGAGACAATTGTTGACAGGGGATATTTGAAATTTGTCAAATTATGAGAAAATTTGTACTTTTGATAGACCTCAGTGGTATATTTGTAATTTAACCCAAAACAATTTGTTATATACATGGTTGAATTGTGTTGGATCTTGCTTTTTAATGCAGAATATAAGGAATCTCTCCAGAAAAAGGCAACTGCTGCAGGTTTTGACCGTCCTATAGATTACTTGTGGCATGAAAGGGAAAAGGACCCTCAATACTGCAGAATATCTTATGAGATGTACAAGAAGGTAAATTGTGTTTATTTTAGGAGCTTGTACATATTTGTTCATGTGATATAAATAACCGTTTCTTGCTTTTTCTACTTGAGAATGAATAACATGGCCTAATTATTTAAATTATCGATTGTGTTTTTACTAAACAAGTTGTTAGTGTTACATAATCATGAGGTTGTCCAGAGTTATAACATTTGTTTTTCCTTTTCTTCAATCATGCAGTGCCTTAGCGAGAACGAGAAAGAGAAAGAAACGATGTGTGAATTCATGCGCAACAATTGTCCCCAATTTAAATAGGCTACTAAATGTTGTGATGTTGTTCACAACTACTTGATGAATGTCTGAACCACACTGAAATCTATAAATTATGCATCTGATCGGAGACTATTGTATCTATGGATGGAGTAATTATCCAGTTCAACCAATGCTTCATTTTAAGTAGTTTTGCTAGTTAAGAGTTTGGTGTGATATGTTAATATTTATATTATTTGTGTGATATATATCTAAAGGTGCTGGAATGAGCCAAAATTTTCTTGCTCTGGCTAAGTTAGGGTGTGCAAGTGAGAGATGTCTGCAATTATATTTCATGTCTTGTGAAATGCTTTGTAATTTAAAATATCGTGTTATGGTTCAGCAAACAGATATATGTTGCTTGCAATAAGCTTCCGGTTAGATGAGGTTGGACAAGTTTGTGTATGTAAAAATATGTTGCATGCCTAACAGCCTAACCCTGTAATAATCTTCAGAATTCATCCTGGATATGTTACACGCTTGGTGGCAGAGCTCAATTAATTTTTACAATGTTGAATAGTCAACTATGCACAACCATATATGCATTTTTATTTTTATATTATTTGTTTTGTTGGGAGGGTTTAGGAAATTTTGTTAGAGAAAGAAAAGTGGTGATGGTTGGAGAGATGGTGACTCACAAGGGAGGCTGTGATGGAGGGGATGCACTGGAATAGTAGAGAAAGAAATGGAGGCAGTGGGAAAGGGGTGGAGGAAGTGGGTGAGGGAGGTGAAAGTGTGGTGATGTGGGGGTGGCAATGCAAATTCTAAATACACTCAAAATCTCTATATGCTCATAATATGGATCGTAAATTTATAATTTTTATGTTTGTTGGCGGTGGGACAAAGGTGAAAGCGAAGGCGGTGTGGTGATGGCGACGAAGATAGTGATTGTGGCTGTGGTGGTGTTGGTGTGATGGTGGAGGTGTTAGTGGTGGAAAAATGTGATTATAATAGTAAAATTTTAATTCGAAAAATATTTTTATTCTATTGATCATAAAAAACATTTTTCATCGATATTTATTTTACATTGTACTAAATATTAAAAAATGTAAAATATATTTTTTGTCCATAGAAAGGATTTTTTACCCTTAATCAGTCCAATCCATTCTCTTCAACTACAACCTCTTATGATTGAAATGATTGTAATGCATTTTAACATGTCTAAGGAGTCAAAAAGCACCAATCTAATGATTGAAAATAAATGTAGTGCTTAAAACAATTTCAGCAATATCATATAAAAAAAGGTGTTGAGTTAATATAACGAAGAGGTTTAGCAATATAATATGAGTAATGCTATATGTATTAATTAGTATATTGAGTCCTTATTGAAATTTTTTCTCTTTTTAGTTAGAAAACAAAAATACATTTTAAACTTTTGAATAAGTTTTATTTGTTGTTACTTTTTAAGAACAAATTTTAATTTTAATTTATATGTACTTTTATATTTTTATGTGCAACTATTATATGAAGTTTCATAATTTCTTATTTATTAATATTGTAACCAATTATTCATACATATTTACACAAAACTAATTTTAAAACACAATCTGCTAAAATTAAGAGTCATGCTAATGATGGTTCATTATACGTTCGTTAAAAATCAAATAATGTATAAAAAAAATTAGAAATTCATACATTAAAGGTATTTTTATACATTTGTTCTATATACAAATATCAACATTTTTTAAACCAAACCAAACCAAGCCTTAAGTCCCATCAAATGGGGTCGGTTACATGAATCCTTCTTCTCCACGCGGCCCTATCAAAGGCTATTTCATTAGTCAAATTAAGTAGATTCATATCTCTATTTATAACGCTAGTCAACGTTAATCTAGGCCTACCCCGTCCCCTAACACTTCCATCTACCGTTACAGCATCGCATCTCTTCACTACTGCCTCTGTTGGTCTCCGTTGAATATGACCAAACCATCTCAAACGTTTCTCTCTCAACTTATCTTCTATCGGTGCTACTCCTACCCATTCTCGAATACACTCATTTCTAATCCTGTCTTGTCTAGTCTTACCACACATCCACTTTAGCATCCTCATCTCAGCCACACTCATCTTATCTACATGTTGTTTTTTAGTTGCCTAACATTCCGTCCCATACAACATAGCTAGTCTAATAGCCGTTCTATAAAACTTACCTTTTAGTCTAGTGGGTATTCGTTTATCGCACTATACCTCAGACGCACTTCTCCACTTACACCATCCCGCCTTAATCCTATGGGTTACATTTGCATCAATCTCTCGCGCTGTTGTGATAATCGACCCTAAATAACGAAAATGTTCACTCTTAGACAGTTCTTGGTTCTCAATCTTCACTTCTCCTCTGCTTTCATTGTTACTGTTACTAAATTTACACTCCATGTACTCTGTCTTAGTTCTGCTTATCCGGAATCCTTTAGATTCAAGAACTTTTCTCCAAATCTCCAACTTTGTGTTAACTCCTTCTCTAGTCTCATCCACTAACACAATATCGTCTGCAAAAAGCATACACCATGGCACGTCATCCTGAATATTTATCATCAACTCGTCCATGACTAAAGCAAAAAGATAAGGACTTAAGGTAGATCCTTGGTGTAACCTTACAGTGATAGGAAATTCATTTGTCTCTCCAGCTGACGATCTAATAGTGGTCACCACCCCTTCATACATGTCCGTAATATAGCGATCCCGGATTTATCCTTGTTATACCGTGACCCGGACATGTGTCCGTGGATGTTGGTAGTTGTTTATTATTTTGTTTACATCCTTTTTACTTCGTAATTGAGTTATAGGATGTGTTGGGCAGGTTTGTTACAGGTTGGTTGAGTTTAGAAACCAAAATCTAGGCAACTAGTTTTGGCCTGCACAGTATTTCCTGTGCAGTGTTGGACGCTCGAGCGTGGGATTGACCGCTCGAGCGGGAGTGTTGTGTGTGACGCTCGAGCGGAGGAGTTGGCGCTCGAGCGGAGACCTGGTTCTGTAAAAGTTCTGGGAGTGAGTATCCGGAGCTCGAGCTGGAGTTTGGTCGCTCGAGCGGGAGTCTGTGAGTGACACTCGAGCGGGGGTCTGGACGCTCGAGCGGAGAGACTTTTATATAAATCCGAGATCCGACTTTTGGATCACTTTTTCAAGATCTTTTCTCTCTCCTACTTTTCCAAAAAGCCATTTTCAGAGCTTCTCACTCTAAACCGGCCCTTCTCTCTTAGATTTGATCTAGTAAGGATCGTTTACTCACCTTTTGTCTTCACAAAAGTTGTGTTGATCGTCGAGAGCTTCCTTTTGATCTGAAAATTTCGAGTTTTGGAGCATTTTGGTTTTGGTCTTCATCTCCTTTGGGGCTCCGAATTTGAGGTAGGGATAACCTACTCCTCTCTATGGGTTTTGTCTTTAAATTTTGGTATTTTGAGATGTTGGGGTTGGTTAGCTAATTTGGTAAAAGTTTGGGGCTTTTGTGCAATTTTACAAAAGTTGGGGTTTTATTCATAATAAACCTAGATGCATGTTTGGCATGGAGAAATGGAGGATTGGAAAGG